TGACCGACCCATCGTGGTCGATGACGCTGGACGTTTTCTCGGAATGAAGTTCCTTCAGCACAACCAAACACCCGTTTTCTAATCACCTCGTTTCAAACGTATGAAGAGGCCTGGTGTAGAATTACGCTGTGAATCCACTTTTCATAAAAATACGGGAGCCCTCTCGTGGCGATTTCGAATAGCCTAGCCCCTATGGAGTGATTTGGGTCGGCATGTTGTACTTCATTTGTTCCCGCAAGTAGAGAGATGGATGGTTGTAGATTACATGACAACGGGAGGAGGGATCTGGTCACGAATTATCTAACATGGAGCCTCCACATCAACCCATACATTAGTAAATTCATTCCTTTAAAAAAGAAAAACACCCGTGACTCCATGATAATCTCGTGAAATGAGTTGTCCTCCAGATTCAGATACCGATACATAATCTGGAAATTACACAATATCGCGTTGCACCATCACCGAATGTCACTAGACAAACTTAGCTAACAAAATATTAGATCGTAGAAAAACGTAGAAAAACGATTAATTATGAATTTGCATGTATGTTAGATGGAGTTGTGATCACAAATATTATTTTTCTAAAGTCAGCTTAGACGATAGGATGATAAGAGCGACAACAAGTGGACTGTGACGTTGTCCCGAAGTTGCTCGTGCGCACCATGGATTAGGCGACTGAAAGCTATACTGCAGGTGTAGTTCCCCTCGCGATATTTGAGAGCTACCCTCCCTAAATTGCCCGCACTCTCGGCCACCACTGATGCTTCTAAATGCTAATACGTTGGAGTATTTTTTGTAGCAGGTTTCCAAAAGGCGAGCAGAATAGCCTGCCAGAAATTTCTAGAGTAACACTTGCAAACATCTGCTGTTTTGAAGAATATCTTCGCTTTATTTCGTATTATGTTGGGAGGCCTTTAGATGGCCGCCAGGCCATCTTGCGAGTGTAACCGGGCAAAATAGTTAATCACATTAACACGAATCTCTCTTCACATATTTTCTTCGGGGTTTCGGATGCTCCTGAGCTTTCGTGTACTTCCATTTTATGACAACTTTCTCGTTTATCAACCTTCAGGATGTATGGGAGAATTACGGTAACCTAACTCAACCAAATTAACCTCTGGCTTAAGAATCCACGCGGAAGCCGCCTGAACTGAGTGTCACCAGCCAATGAAACATTATTCGGAAGCCCCCGCTCGGATGATGGAATATTCATCTGTACCACCTGAGCATGATTGCATGGAGATTTTGTTCTTCCGAAAATTTAGCATACTCGAGAATTTTTCCATTATTAGATTCTGTTGTTGAAATTCGAGAGTTATGGGCAGGCAGGTGGCACTGTACAAGGCCAGAATAACTTGAGGTCGGATAACGTTAAAACGACAGCTACAAGAACACAGCAAGTCCTAACAATGGACGATTTTAGTGCAGATGTTAGCACTCTGTTGAAACTTATAGTTAAGTATAAAGTAACACATTCAGAAATTCTAGTTTACCGAAATTAAACTCGAGGGTTTTGACAAACGGTTCTAGTTGACTAGCTCAAATTGCTAACTCCAATATCACCCTCTGTTCTTTCCGCTCGGCGCCTACTCTGGGTCGGCCAGTTCTCTCTCCCATACTCGAATCCTGTTTTCCCTTCCATTTCCACCTGACCTCCAGCAATTCTTTGTGTTGCCACGCGCCATATGCTAGGCATCTAGCTTGTGGAATATTTTGGCTGGTCTTTCAGCTCCTAACAGATTTCCCGGCTATATCCTGGGTAAATATCTCACTCGCCAGACCATCTACTTACCTGTCTGTCAACTACAAACGTATTCTTTACTTGGCTTATATGACAAAAAAATGCTAATCATTGTCGGTGTCCCCTATTTGTCAGTGAGCCCAACTTTTACCCCACTTTACTCATCAGGGTTTTTCACATTAACAAACCGATACCAATGCTGGGTATGTGCGGAAGTGGGAGAAATATAAGTCTTAAAATACTAGGCAACGTTATCCGCCAAACACAAAAATAACTGCAATCAAGCTGTTGTTTTTTATAACAACCTCTTCTACGTATTTGCCCGTTGAAAGAAATCAGGTGGAAGTGAGTTCACAAAAAGTGGTTACTAGATACCTTGAAAAGACTTTCCGCCATTCCTGCACTCTGCAAACCACCCTAAATGTTGTGCAAGTCAAATGAGATAACTTCAAGTAAATTTTCGACGGCAACATTACATTTTTCAATTTCCTGCATAGTTTTTTTTAGTATGATATGGTGACGGAATACTTTATGAAGTTTCCAAGGTGTCGTGTTGATTCAGTTTCCTGGATCACTCAGGTCTTGAGAAGGTAATCGCAAGCGGAGGGAGGTTCACCGATAAGGTAGACATCCCGCGAAATCGAAGAGCTTTGCAAGCCGACTTTGTAAGCCATTACAGTACGAAATCACTGGTTGGCGATGAATAACTTCCATTTGTTGGTGCTTTTGTCCGTGGTGCAACCCAACAAACTGCCTCGAGAAAATGGCGTCCTATTTATCCTACATTTATCAATAACGGACCGATTTTGGTCGGTTTCCATAAGAGTTACTTTAGGTGCTGAAACTGTCAAATTGACTGTAGTACAAAACCTCGAGAGCAAATTACACACCGGTGCCAAATCCTGAGACTTCCGACAACAATGTCCGTATGGCTTGCGTCTAATAATAACTTCTTGACTTTGAATACAATCACAGATACCAAAACGTTGCTCACCATGGATACCCTGCTACTCCGGGAAGTACAGAAAAACCTGTTGTATAAACTACGATCCAGTGTGAAACCAAACCAAAAGGTCACCTGTACAAACAAGAACCATTTCTCTCCGTGGTTCTATTTGGAGTTTTGTCGCACGTTTCTAGCTGAGGTTGAGATCTTTGTGTGATGACTTCCTACTTGGGCACCCTGTTGAAGTCATTGATGAAAGAAAATTCGAAAGTGTAAGCCAACGTCTAGTGAACAGTGGTGAGTTCTCGAATTATTCGTAAGCACTCCACAGCGTAAATCGTGAATCCATAGAACTAACAAAAATGACTCGTTGCCCTCTTCTGGTTACCTAATATGCACTTTACAGTGCTAAAAGCAATCTTTCAGAGCCTACACCGGCAGGTGGTGCGGGAGGTATATCATAATTATAAAAAACTGAACAGAACAACGACAGTTTTTGTTGTCTTCGGCTGAAACATCCTCTACATTACGCCATCCATTTTAACACTTATTTTGTACATTTAGAGAGTACTTCCCACCGTGAAACACTGTCAGCGTCATAATTACCTTAATGGAGGGTCGAATTCCATTGGCACACTTTAAATTTGGTTGGTTGTGGATTGCAATGCATCTTGAGAATTCTATTGGAACGACCCCTTCCGGTAGTAAATGCATGGTCGTCCAGTCAGAGGGTCTTCAAACAGATAATCCTTCGAAATAACGCATTTCTCAGCGGAAAATGATACTAGGTTCCCCTATATCTATCTTTTCAGGGTACACAAAAATTACTCAATATTCTAGCCTGGAATATTCCAAAGAAGGTGACTTAGCGCCTAGATCCATGGGTCGGTCTTAGCTGTGTATACACTGTTATCAATGTAAGCATAGCATAATTCACAGAAGAGATCGCATTTTGAAGGCACCGCAAAATTACTTTAGGGTCATATGTTCCTTCTAAGGGACAGTGATTCTCGTAAGAGATCTATTTGGATCATGCCTTTGGGATGTCATCTCCAGGGTGATTAGCTCTGTTACAAGAAGCACGGACTTTGTAAGCCACTACAGTATGAAATCACTGGAGGGTGACGAATGAACTCCATTTTCTGGTGCTTTTGTACGGGATGCGACCAAATCAAACATCTTGAGGAAATGGTATCCGTTTCATCCTCTAGGTCAAATGTAACTCCCAACTTCTTCCATTCATGAACACGCTCCGCTTTTGACCAACTTCATACATATATAGCAAGTTCCTTATTTCAAATAGACTTTCACGTGAGCAAACTAGTGCGCACTGTTCTCCCAGGGCAGCAATCTCCTTATAGTTATCGCCAAATCCTTGTTATATTTCCGGTAGAGTGTAGATCATCCCCTTAACAAGAGTTGGGGGAATTGGCACTCGCATTGCTATTCTCATTGAACACTCGACGAAGTAACGGTAATTTTCTGCTTGTGTGCTTTTGGATTTGTGGACAAACCACCATGTACAACTCTGTCCAATATATCTATCTCATGGGATGAACAATATCGACGCTCCCACTGGTGGAGAGGGTTTCCACCACTTGAAACAAAGTCCCACATAAGTCTGCATAATATGGTATACCAATATCCCAAGTCTACCTACCATATTGTAAAAGGCTGCGAAACGTGTATCGCAACTTAAACTAATAAACAGAAGCCACGAATTCCCAAAGGTAAACGGGAGGAAAAGCATTTATTTTGTTCGGATAAAAAGCTAAAAAGAACAGCCAAAATAGATGACCTTTTGTTGAGCTTTGGTTTTGCGGAACGTAACGAATACATTTTTGTGGGGAACGGATGTCTGATGTTCCGTGTTTGAAGCGAAAGCTTTTTGTTTTGGTTAGAATGCGTGTCATTTCGACCATACTGTTTTGATGAATCGCACCCAGATCTGGAGGGGTCACTATGGTTTTTTCAACAATATTGCTTACGAATGTCCGTTGTGAAACCGAATGGAAAACACATCTCGGGGGAGCGGAAATACTAACAATATTGTTCAAATCACTATGTTGCCAAAAAATCCGGCAAAACGCCATCCGTATTGTACAAACACAGTGGAATGATTTCATTACGTTTCAACAATATGGAAGCAACAAAACTTTTAGTGACGCGAAGGTCTCAACGTGATTTTACTTTTCTTCAAGCTTTTCCATAAAGTATCACCATTTTTAGTAGGAAAATGGCTTCTCTTCAAAGTGACACATTCAGGCATCCAAGTCGTTTTCCTGACATGGGCGTTGGTTCGCGTGTAAATTATCAGTGAGAATCATGTCGCATGAATTCCGCAATGAAGTGCTGATGTTTTTTCTGTATCCGGGTCTTCTTCAGCATCATCTGCGGGGCTGGGAATGACTTTTCTTTTCGTCGATCGGAAAGGAAATCTGAGAGAAGTAATAGCAACTCGAGAAATACTGGGTTAGCACAGGATGCTCTATACTACCTGTCAGGACTAGCACCTTCAAAAAGTAGTTCAATCATTAGGGCTGTAGTTTTTACTGAACTGAGAATGGAGGATTCAGTAAGCAGCATTCAAAACAGCGTACACAGGTCATAAATAGAATAGTCTTGACATTTAATCACAACCTAGAATGGTTACTATATACATTAAACCTTCAGGTTAGCCCATTTTGAAGAATAGTCATTATTATAAACAGATCATAGTAGAGCTTCCGTCGATCAGTGTGTACAGTCCTCCATTGACTGCAAGACTCTCCTGTCTACTTGCCTGAGGACGCAAAGTTGAAACATGAATTTTTTTCGACCACGACATATACTGCAGTGTCTCAAGACCCACATTTACAGGATACATGTTTTCTCGCCCGGCAAGGTCATTGTAGGGCATCGGTAACTCCTGTGTGATCAGACATCGGTTTACAAGTTCACGATGTATTGGCCTAGATCTTAATAAAACTTAGGACTGATCACAACCCCGCCCTTTGTATGCATACAAGTGGTTCACACCATTTGTGATTCACTTTCACTATTGTAATGGAGAAGGTTCAGCATTAGTTCAAATTTGGTGTTTTGTTTACTCATACGGGGTTTCCAAATGCATGGTTATATCAGAAGGGATTGAGATAAATGGACGGTTAAGGCGCAGAACTACTAACGAGAAGATCCGTGTTTCGAACCGCAAACTAGTTTTTCGATTGCTTCTGTCTAGTGCTGCTCTACCTAGAAGAACCTGCTCCCTTCCGTTTGGAAGGTAGAAATGCACCGGAAGGACATCACAACCGAATGAGTATTATTTTCTACCGCTGTCAAATGAAAATGGAAGACGTTTTGTTTCCAACGCGATTCTAAGTTTGGGATCATTCAACTGTAGGCGTCCACTGTTATAGACTTAGTACGTATTTCAAACCGGCCTTGTCAGTGAGTAGGTGCAGTGCAAATCAAACCGGTCTGTTCTCTAGAGTCACAAACTTCCCCAATTCTACTGTCCTGATCGTCCACCAACAAAGAACATTTCTGTTATTTTCAAGAGTCAAGGAACTATACAACTCTTGGTTAAACTTCGCTGTTTGGCACGATCACTTCGACAAATGTAATAGAAGAAATGGGAGAGTGAACTTATGTTAAAAAAATTAAAAGCATAGTAACTTATGCCCAGTAAAATTGGATTCGTTCGATATTTTGGAGTTTGTAGTATAAAGCACGCCTTCCATTGTTCAATGGTAATGAACACAGTGGAATTGACACTGTTGAATTGAATAACCCGCCTAACTATGCGATATGACGTAGCGATTGGTACGGTCGTGTACGGGATACATACACACATGCATACACATTTCTTCCTCAGTGGGGATGATCAACGCTAAACGTCCTTCAATTCGTTGAAACTGGGGTTTCAGCATTCTAGGATTCAGCTATAGAGGGAAGATGGTTAGCCTGTACTTAAACAGAATATCACACGACCCATTCTTCAACCACTCAGTTTTGCCTGAAAGGAACTTAGTTGGATGAGTCCCCAGAACAGACATACCAAAATTGCCGTGAACCTTACGGTAGGTCGGATGAAACGCAAGCATCAAATGGATGAGTTCGGTTATCTCTTACAAATCCTGGGATGTTTGGTCGCTGAAACACAACCATAAAAAAATCGCATAGTGCTTGTTCGACAAATGTTTTAATCTTCTGAATAGCCTTTAGGAGAAAACATTCATGACAGATGTAGCTGAGACTTGTGTACCCATGTGGCAGATAGTAGAATCAGGACACTTTTTCTTAAGATACACAGTTGACCTGGTCACACTGCGTGGAACTTTCTTGTACATGGCTTGGTGTAGGCACGATGCTCCTATTGTTTTTTAGAGAAAATCTTTCAAAAGTACTCACAAATGCGTGTCCTAATTTGTAGAGGGAAGGTTCCGAAACAGAAGATCCAACAAGTCGGGACAACCTCAGTTAGTTGAGCATATTCATGATGCAATTCCAGAAGGCGGTCGAATGTCAGCAAAAATGCCTTAGATAAAGTAGAGGTATTCAGAGAGCGTGTTGAATTATTAATTCATCAGAATCTGCGTATGCTAAAAACTGTCAACCAAACGGATGTCAAGACACGCGATTGCGAACGAGGAATCTGCAAGTAGATCTTGTAATGTTTCCAAGTGGACGGTGCAAACGTTTTAGATCACTTAATTAAAACGAAACCTGGTCCCACGACTGACAAACTAACACCCCAAAACACTCAGCTCAATAGGGTTCTCAATTTATTTAAGGTAAAAGAAACCGAAGTCACAATAATTGGCAACAGAATACATCGGTATAGTTCTTTAGATCAAATGTTTTATTGGTTGATTGCTGCTAGTGCAGCGTATGGATTAAATTAATGCGGTCACTCGAATATAAACAAAGGAATTTGTGCAAAAGATTTCTTTTTCCTTGAACATAAAACATCTGCTGAGGAAACTTGAAAGCAAACACAAACGTCTTGATGGAGTATGACTCTGATTACATAGACCATGCAATGCATTTCTCCAGCCCTGCTGGATATGATCATTCACTGTTTCCTTATCATAAAATGGTTGACTAGTGCAGAACTGGTTGTAGCGGCAAGGTGGTACTTCAGTAACAAAACATCCGTTTTACACAAATCCCCAACGAAATTTGCTACCTGGGATGGGAAAAACCTCTAATTTCCATAATTTTGTTTCATTTTCTTGTAGGTTATGCAAAGAAATTTTCAACACCCTCTAGCACACGGCTTGTCTCTCTAAATAGCATTTCTAAGGAAGAACTTGATTATGGATATGAGAGTTCTTGTGGTGAGCTACATCAGTGATGCAGGGCAAACTAGGAGTTTAATGATTTGAAAGTTTGTGCAAACTACACTAAGGAAATCAGTCAGTGGAAAACAACAGTCCCGTAAGCTGACTTGAGCCGAAAGACAATGAATACTGTGGAATGAGCTATTCTTTGTACTGGCACTGAACAGACGTAAGGGCTGTGTTGGGCAGTACTACTAAGAATCGCGAGTTGTTCAGGTGATGCATCCGATCAAGGTAATAATCTAATGAATTTGCATTCTCAAGCAAATTTCTGCAAATTCAGCCCTACCGTACTCTTAAGATAACTGCATGATGAATATCGCGGAATGATATCTGTCACTTCGGGAACTCCTTGTCAAGCACCAGGTAAACGACATCGGAAGTTAGAGCCAAAGTGTCCGGAGCATTTGAATCTGTTAGAGTGCACTTACCTCACGTGTTGCTGTATGCTGCTACAATTTGCCTTAAGAAAGTTCACCTTCGGATAGTAGAAAGCGCAAATAGTTAGAAGAAGGAGGCCTCAAGGTGTGTTTCGTGTTGATGGATGTACTGTAGCTGGATAGAGTTCTTTCACCAGAAAGTCTGCCAAGAGTAGAAACTTCACCTAACCCTATAAGCTCCCGGAAGTCCAAACTAACTCATCTGCAACTGCCACGTTTGTGATGTTCGTACACCTGGCTATTATTTATATCATTCTGTTATGAACTCTAATCAGAATTCTTATCCCATATCTGTAGAAACTATCAAACAACCGATAATGTACTCTCACTGTACTTTGGGAGACACCTGTGCATTTCCGAGGCTAAATCTTGCAACATGCGTTTGAAATTGTTCTCAAATGATCGGCACCCTACACCATATGCAATTTCCAAGGTATCGAAGTTGTACGGTATGTATATCCTTTTAATGAACCTTCACTTAATGGACACCAAAGTCGGTCAGCACACTCGTGTACATCCAACTACAGTCACTACACGGATTTTGAAGTACGTCTGACATTTTACCGTAGCTTTTGTTGCTTACCGATTTCTCTAACTGGCTGGCTGTCTATATGGCTGACTGGTAATTGCTCGAAGGTCTGTACATGTCATCAAGTCAGTGTTTGTGTGCTGTCAGAATTATTTACTTTTGGGTCAGGAATTCTGGACTATTGCAATGAGAGTTTAACAGTTGATAGTGACACAGCAGTCAAGGCTGCTAGGTAGGGAATCAATGGTAGGGAATCAAAATTCAGAGCAACTGAGACTTCGGTGAGGCAAAGCTGGTTGATCTTTGTTAGTGGTACTAGGAGATAAAAGATGGTCGACTGCTCCCCAGGTTCTACTCCGAAGTATTGCCCTACTGTAACTCTGGACACATCTTTCTTTTTGACCCAAGACAGTATCTTCCGACTCCTGTAGTGATCTCCGCAAACAAATCGTAATGGATTTGCTTGACTGAAGTAACATCAAATTGTGTGCTCCATCAGTCCAGAGTCGAGGAAAAACAGATAGTCTCAGCGACTCGCAAAAATTCCCATTGTTATATGACGGAAGCTATAAATGCATAATCGATGAAATATTTCCCAAAGAGGAGAAGGTCGGTAGGACTGGCAAAGAATTGGTGGTCCGACCGTTACGTTTTGGTTTATGGCATATGGTATACAATTTGTACAAAACTCAAAGTTGAAGACCGAAATTCTGTACACTTATTTTATACATCCATTCGAAAGAGATTCAGAAAACACCAGGCTCTAAACAATTAGATAATTTTCTCTCACCATGCGGTACCAACCGTATCCATATAAGAGGACGTAAATTCGTTCACTAACTTGGGAAAACAGCACATTCATTACAGGAATGGTATGACCAGTTCGTTGACATATGCATATCCAGACAGCCGGATGCACCCTCTACATAAACAACGAACTCATTTTGCGCACAAACAACTAGTTTGTGTGTTACCATCTATAGCACGTGTGGAATATAGTGGGGGTTCCTATACGTTACTGTTTAACGCGCGAACGAGTGGTTATTTTAACTTATAAAAGGATTTCACATTCGCTGAAAAACTGTCGAAAGCTGCTGCTGGGTGAAAAGTTTGGAAGGAAGGTGGGACCTTGAGCTATTTGCAAT